TGTATAATATACATTATATATGTCTGTATACAATAAAAAACTTGACATTGTAAATCATACTTGTAAAGCCATTAGTTTGTCAGTGACATGAGATGTTAACTTGTTTCCCGATAATTTAAATGTCCAACTAATCCCATTCTAAGTAAAGACATTTTCCCGTGGGACAAGGCAGATAGACAATGTCGTGTAAAAAACATTAACGGGCATCAAGTTTTGCATGACGCTCATCATATAATGTTAAAGCGCGTCCATCATTTGTTTAACGTTGCCGATTCAAACGACATTATATAAGACTATGTTACCCCTGGTTGATACTTAGTCTTGTTGTTGATATGGCATTTTATCAAAATAAAACCTTGAGGGATTTCAATTGCAGTATAATGTTGTAGTTGTGAAAACTTTCTATATGTCACTTAATGTAAATAGGAATATGTAACGAGTCCTTTGATATTTTTTCTCTCTGAATATTGTAGTGTTATATACCACATGCAGACAGATATTTGAATGAAGCATACCACAGTTTTATGTTGTGGTAATTTTTAGCTTGTTTGCAAAAATTTAAATATATAGTCTACAACAGCACTTTTAATTTCTCCCTCACCCTTTCTCATTCATCAAGTCTATTAAGGAAAAGCGGAAAAAAAGGAAAAGTTTTGATTCCAGATGAAATTTCAAATGCTAAATACATAATTACGAGGGGTGTTCAAAAAGTTTTGAGACTAATGTGCTTCCGTAGAAAATTACCATTCAATTTGCACGAAATTCACGGGATCTTATTGTTAGGCTTTCGATGACAATTGAGTAAAATTTCATTGAAATCAAATCATGCGTTTAAAAGTTATTGTGTATTATTTATCATATACTCGTATACACTGGTCATTTGTACATGTAAATATGAAACCTAGTGAAAAATTAGAGATTCGAGGATACATAAAAGTGCGGTGTAGTTTAGGAATTACTGCTGAGAAGATTCTGAATGAAGTGCATAGTCACTTTGGAATCAATAGTGTTTCGAAGAGCACTGTGTACAGGTGGTTCAAAGCATTCACCAATGGATTGGATAATGTCAAAGACAGGAACCGTTCTGGCAGACCTCAGACAGCAATCACTTCCAGAAACATTGCTGCTGTGAAAAATCTAATAGAAGATGATGCTCGGTACACGGTACGTGAGATAGCTTATTATCTGAACTTATCAACGGGTACCATTCAGACCATTCTGACGAAGGAATTGAATTTAAGAAAAGTTTGTGCCAGATGGGTACCCCATCTCCTGACCGAGGATCAGAAAAAGGAAAGAGTGCGTCTTGCGAAAGAAACATTGAAAAAATTCAAAAAGCTCGATTCAAGGAAAATAAATGAACTGATTACGGGAGACGAAACATGGATCTACTATTTTGAGCCCCAGAGACGCATAAACAACAAGCAATGGCTCCGCAAGGACCAGGCTAGACCCACCATTGCTAAAAGGACTAAGAGCGCTAAAAAAGTGATGTATGCGGTTTTCTTTAATTCGCAAGGCCCTGTGGTACAAGTTGCAGTTCCAGGAGGGAAAACTGTCACTGGAAAGTTCTACCGGGATAAGATTTTGAAACGTGTCAAGGCGTTTTATGAAAATCGTCGCCCAAGAACTGGTTTAAGAGGGTTGTACCTCATTCATGATAACGCTTCATCTCATAAATGTGATATAGTACAAAGGTTCATCGAGGAAGAAAAAATTGTACAAGTGAAGCATACCCCTTATTCTCCCGATCTAAGTCCGTGCGACTTTTTTCTCTTCCCCGAAGTAAAGAAACAGCTTTCTGGACGGCGTTACGCATCACGCAGCGCGCTGGGAAGTGCGCTCTACCAGTGCCTTTTGGGTATCCCCAAGGGGAACTACTCTGACGCTTTCCGGGGGTGGATAGATCGACTTCAGAAGTGTATTCGGGTTCATGGAAACTATTTTGAGGGATTAAAATAGAAAAAAAATTGATGTATATTGTTGTTTTTATTTCATTGCTACAGTCTCAAAACTTTTTGAACACCCCTCGTATACCCCCAGCACAACAAAGTTGTAAGGGGGGACTATACTGGAATCAGCTTGTCCATCTGGCTGTCCAGCCGTACATTGGTTTTTCTTTGTCTGCCCAATTACTTAAGATTCCTTTAACCCATAGTCTTCATATTTGGCATGAGGTTAGTCATGACCCTAATAATAATAGATGACCCCTATTGATTTTAAAGTCACTAGGGCCTTTAGTTTAAAAAGCTTGTCTGCTCAATAGCTTAATAATGCTTTGGTCAGCAGTTGTCATATTTAGCATTGAGGTTGGTTATGACTATTAAATGACCCCTGTTGATTTTTAGGTGACTGTGTTAAAGGTCAAGGTTACAGGGGCTTTTACTACAATAAACTTGTCTGCTCAAATGCTTAAGTATGCTTGTCCAGATGTGTATAGATTTTGACATTTTCACATTTAAAGCATATAATTATGTTCTCATAATTCATCATAAAACACCCCCAGGCAAAGCTGCATGAATGGGGGGGGGGGGGTTATTCAAGTCATGCAGTGGCAGTTTCAGTTTTGAGGTCAGTAGGTCAAAGGTAAAGGTCACTTTGATCTTTGCCACTAAAAACATGTAGAATACATAACTTAGCAATGCACTAGCCTACTACCCTCACATTTGGCTGGAAGGTTGTCCTTGAGCTCTAAATGACCACTTCTGATTCTGACAAAGTGGTATGCGGGGGTATTCACACCATGACGGTGGCAGTTCTAGTTATATTAGATAAATACAGAGGCAATTTTGTAATGTAAACAATAACCTTTATATTATAACAGACTCTTGGAGTACGAAAGCAATATACAATGCCACATAAAATTACCTTACCTAAAGTAACATATTTAGTTTGGGGCAACTTTTTACTAGGCAGCTCATTATAGTCTCACCTGAATTGTAAGATTTTTATATGTTTAAAAATCTAATAAAATAAGAAATTACTGTGGACTGTGAGTTCCAAATTAAAGTGCAAACAGTTGGCAACATTAAATCAGGGTAGACACAATTAATGATCATTTAGACAGTATGCGCCTTTAAATGTTAACATCTAAATGAACAATATGTTTAGAAGAGAAGAAATAACATTTACATTAATGGTGTAATATTGTCTCCGTTGGTAACGACAATTGTTTATTTGAGGCTTATTGTCTTATCTGGCGACAGAAGTTGTGAGACATATTCTGGAATTCCATTAAAAGATAGAAAACAGCTCTCGCATCTTCACTTTTATTGGTCATTTTGTGTCTCATGGATATCACACTAGTCATTGAAAGAGGTCATCAAAGATTGGGTGGCATGGTTGATTAGGTTAGTATCTAAGCATGTTTTGATTAGATTAATTTAGTTGGACAGTTCTGCACACAGTGTAATTGGCGTTTGTGATGCGTTATAGCTCACTTGTGTTACAGTCCATTGTCTGAGAAAACACTACTGTATTGATCATCCTGGACCACAGCTGACACTGAAAAAACTATCAAAGAGACACTTTTTCACTGGTTTATTTTCGTCTTTCTTGTCTTAAAAACTTCTGCTTAAGAAATGATATTTAAGCTATGAAATCACAACTAAGTCTTATATCATTCTTTAAATTTATTTATTATGAGGTGGCTTATACAGTATTTTAATTCTGCCTATGTTACAAAACATATATACTTGTAGGAAATAAGTGCAGGGACTTTTGAGTGACTTTATAATTATTTATTTAATTTAATTAATTTATGGAACTTGCCATAATCTTTAAGTCTACTCTAACCTGACATTAACATTAGGTCAAATGTTAATTTACCAGGAAATTAAATAAGTTTAATTATGATTGAAAACCTCGGAAGAACAGATATTATTAAGGTTAGTTTTGAAATAATTAAGGATTTTAAAATTGATATATTGCCAATTGTTGTTAAACGTCTTGCCCTCCATCTATTAATGTCTGCTTTAAATTGGTTTAATTTATTCTCCTAATTTACATTCTGAGGTCCAAATTATATTTGAATATTTTTTTCTACAATAGATTAAATCATGTTGATTTCTAAGTGAACCTATTCTGAGAACTGTACATTTTTTGTAATTAAGTTTAAGACCAGAAATAAAGGAAAATTGTTCAAATATGTTCAAAGTTTCTTCAAAGCTGCTTGATTAACCATTTAATATTATAGTTGCATCGTCTGCAAACATGCTATTTTTAACTTCTACATCAAAAATTTTAAAACCTTCAATATTCCTTTTTTGTCTTATAGCTATTGACAATAGTTCAATTGCTAGGATAAATATATAAGGAGACAATGGACATCCTTGTCGTACTCCTCTTTTTATAGGGAATGACTCAGACAAAAAACCATTGTAAAGTATGCAACTCGTGGGTCTTTTGTAAATAAGTTCAATCCATGCTTTTAAAAAGATCTAATTGTTTAAATACGTATTTGTAGCTTATGCTATCGAATGCTTTTTCAAAATCAGCAAAAAATAGAAGTCCCGGTTTATCATTCTTTTCTGCATACTCTATCACATCATAAAGCAATCTTATATTTTCACCTATGTATCGCCCTTTAATGAAACCTGTTTGACTATCATCAATGAGTGTATTTAATACCCGTTTAATTCTATTAGCGATAATCTTAGTAAGTATTTTATAATCTACATTCAGTAAACTTATTGGTCGCCAGTTTGACAATATTGATAAATCTTTATTTGGTTTTGGAATTAGAGTTATTAAACCTTGTGCTTGTAGCTGAAAACCTTGAAATTAAATGATACATGATTAATCCAACATCTCTGAAAAAGAAAACACAAGGTATTTTATGTCAAACCAGATTAATTTTCTATTAAAAAATAACTAGAATTTCAATATAGTTACCTGCATTTAATATTTCTATAGCTCATTTATTTGCTCATCTTTCAAATAAAGTAAAAATATTGACAATATTTCAGATTTGAATACCTGTGTATTCATAAAATTATTCAGATTAAAGTTATATTCCTGGTCAAATTCATCAAAACAGATTGTCAAATTAACGCCTTATTGTTATCAAATGCATTATTTAACTAGTATTGACAAAGTTTTCCAACTTAGAAACGCTCTCCGTAATATTTCTGACCATTCTAAAAAATGCATTTTCTTATTTGACTGGGTTAGTCAAATAAGATTTATATTTTGGCGGGAAGCCCTTCGATTATTTCCGTAAATGTTCGGATCTGAGTCACGTGATATGATTTACCAAACCAAAATAATGGCGGACAATACGAAAGGTGTGTCACGTATGTATACGAGAAATAAATTTTGAGATTGGAGAAGGAAAAAGCGAAAAGTGGAAAGAAACTGTGATTTAATTCAATCAAGGATATACTCCGGTAGTGATTCAAAGCGATGAAAAGTTCTTAAAAGGGTAATTAAAACCAAAAGCGACCGTGAAGTTGTTGTCTGATTGACAGGTGAGGTGATCATCGTTTTTGTTTGCATTTAATTTTTTCTTGGTCTTAGATCTACTATAGAAAAATTTCACCTACGAATATATAAACACAGATATTGTGTTATAGTTTTTAGGATGGTTTTGACTTATGATAAAGAAATTAAGCTTGCAGATCCACGACTGTGTATCAAGTTTTCGTTCACTGTAATTTTCGTACCAATAAATAAATTGTAAACAGGTTAAATAAAAGATCGGCTGAGCCTAATCCTTTACAATTTTATGGCGTATGTTCATTGTAACCATTGTAATATCGTTTAAGATGGCCAATCACTATCTTTTAAGAATCATTTAAGACACAACAAAATTATATTTTGAATAACTTTTATTTTCCAATCACATTATTGTTTTTTACTGTAAGCTGTACTGTATAGTAACTACAATGCTGTGAAATAGATTAGCCACATGTGTCTCAAAAAGGGTTGGAACCATTGACTAGCAGAACAGGCATTTCTTCAAAGCATTTTCAACTATCAAGGGTAGTCCTATAAATGTGATGTCCTTTGATTTTGAGATATTTTTGCTTTTGGGCAACCTTGACCGACATTTAAGCAATAACAAGCCCGTAAGTCTGATATATTGATCTACTACCCAGGGTTGTTGAATCTTCAAAGAAATAAAGTAGAAAAAATAAAATGTTGTCTCAACTTGTCTGGAAAATTGCACAAAAATCAATATTTTTGTCTCATTTGAATCATTTTTGCAGTAAAATTTCAGCATTTCACAATTTGAAAAATAATCATGGACAATAACCATAATTGTGCTGGAAATGTTAGATAATTCTTATTGACAACCCTTCTTCCTTATAAGCAGTGCAGCAATTCATGTATTGTAATTGGCTTGAATAGTCAAGATTTTAGGCCATGGTACTAGTATGCTATATTTTCAATTACAGAAATAAATCAATTTCATCGTCATCATGTGTTGCAAAACCACTACCAGGGACATCAAAGATGACCTGGACTTCAGTGCATATGCAGAGGGGAGTAAGTACACCATTTTTGTCGAAAGTGACAGGTTATAATAATACCTTTCAAAATTGCTATATAACTACATGTATATACTTGCATAACTAATTTACTTATATACAGTTTGTAATTCATATAAAAACTGATTAGTCTTAAATACTGCTGAATTAACGTTTTTTTATTAGTTTATTGAACCAATTAATGGATATATACATGTCAACATGTGATCCATGTATATCATGATCAGATATTCATATGATTTAATTATTAAACAATAATGTCATTTTTTAAGTGGACTGGCATATAATACTGTATTAGAAGAAGAAAAAAAAAACATGCATTACATGGTTAATTTTGGTCCAATTGAAAGATTTTGGTGTCATCTTAAATGATGAGTTTGATATTTGTATGACTCCATAATATTATTATAGGTTATTGTTCACTGAGGTGAAAAAATAATAGAGGGTCATTATAGGTCTTAAATCCAGTTGTGAAAAAATATATATGAGCCGTGTCATTCATGACAAAACCAACATAATGGTTTTGCGACCAGCATGGATCAAGACCAGCCTGCACATCCGCGCAGTCTGATCAGGATCCATGTTGTTCGCTTACAAACCCTATAACAAGTAGAGAAACTGATAGCAAACAGCATGGATCCTGATCAGACTGCATGGATGCGCAGGCTGGTCTGGATCCATGCTGGTCGCAAACGCACTATGTTGGTTTGTCGTGACGCGGCTTTTGGAAAGGATTCTGTTATGTAGTCAATTCTCAGACCATACAACAAAATAGTTACAGATTCCTCAAAAGTGGAGTATACTTTCTTAGTTACAATCAAACATCATGAATTACTAATTTCTAGCTTCTTTTTTTTTCAAAGATATTACATTCTATGTCAGATTGCTATGTTGGCATACAATTGCATTATTTAAATATTTTGAGATGTATCAACATGAAACTTGAAAGACTTGCTTATCAGGACAAACTGTAATTGTTAAACAGGGGAGCATAGTTACATGTTCTTATGAAAGCAGTCATTGAATTTAGCACTGGCCCGGTGGCCCATGGCCAGTGAAAATTAGTTTGGGCCAGTGTAAATTTTAAGAAAATGTAGTTAAATATATAGTAAAAATATAAATTCAAAACTGGAATTGGGGCCAGTGAATTCTTAAATTCAATGACTGTGAAAGCAATATTTTTTAAGTTATATCCCTTTTAAACTAAGAATTTTTAATAGGCTGGTGTTATCACTGCCTGCAATACTGCTGTATTTGTTGTTAATAATAAGGGCAGATTCATGTCCTATAGTAAATGTTGGTGAAGACTGAATATAAACAATTCTAATGTAGAATATTTTTCGCTAAAATGAAAAGGAATTCCACAATTGATTTTATTTCTTCTAAATCTTAAGCAAGTTATGATTTAATCTTCAGGTAGCACTAAAGAAAGCCAATAAAATCCTTTTGGAATTGAATTGAGACACAACCATTCATTTCTGGTTTAGTTATAAAACTGCTACAGACTATAAACTATTCATGGTAAGTAAACAATTATTATACATGTATATTTGATTTTGTTTGAATGTTTGATATTTTAATATGATTATTCTGTTGCTCAATAAATATTTAGATAAAATTCTAGATAGCAATACATAATTGTCATTTGTTGCAAGAAAATTAATGCATGCAAAATGTTTTGATGCATAATGTGGATTACTTCATAGGTTTATGGTAAGCATTTTATATGTAAAATAAATGTGAAATGCTTAGTAATGTTTCATAAAACTTGTTGAAGGCTGACGTCTTTGCCATTTTTTAATGCATGCTTATTTGTCTTGATATTTTATTTCAGGGAATAGTATATTTTAGTGTCTGCATCAATCTTATAGTTATTGAGCATGAATGGGTTCTGTTTTCAGATGATGGAATACACTAATGCCTGGTACAATCATGGCCCATTAGAAACCAGAACAAACCATGGCTGCAAAGGAAATAAGATGCACGTCATAGTCTGAAAGATCTGGCTGGTGTTCTGAATAAGATGACATAATATCTCAACTGCAGGTTATGTTTTCATCAGGTACAATAAAAGAAATTTATATTGACAGGGTTCCCCCTGGAGCAATTTTAGTTTGCACCACCAGATTGGCCAATCAAAAAAGTTGAAGCCAATGGCTCCAATGTTGGAACCATTAATTCTGCAAAGGAGATATGCCTATCTTTGTTAAGATATGCTAGCAGTTTGGAGTGAAATTTTTAAAAGGATTTATTTTCCTAACTGGAAAGGAGTATATGTCCTGATTAATACAAAGCTCATATGTCTATTGATTATAGAATGTTCATTGTTTACAGCATCTTTATATGTTAACACAAATGGACCTACAACCATTATGTATAAATTAATTGGCACCTTTATTGCACTTATCAATTGAAGGATAGAGCTGTGTAAAATCTTTTCAAAGATAATTATTTACACACAGAGATTATATCTAGCATATGAATATGTTAATGTTAAAGGATTTTTCCTTACTAAAATCATTTAAATGAAAATATCTTTCCATTATTTGTATTCATTTTTAGAAGTACAGCTGGCATGTAGGGGTTTCACCAGCACATCTTGATGTATTGTACCAAACGATTTGCTTACACACCACCTGTTTATAGGATGCACAATCTTCTTGCAGCCATAGATTATAATATACATGCAAATAGACCATACATCACCAACAAGGGGGATCTGTTAGGTATGCTACTTACAAAACTCCAACATGTAATGTTACACAATTTTACAGAATGAAAGAAAACAGTGTCCAGTTTGTGTTAGTAAAGTGAATTGTTTGGAACTATAATAATGTTCAACATAGATGTACTCTGTACTGAGTCTAATATGGATGTAGCATGTTACTTTGTTTATTTCAATAGAAAGATTTCAGTTCTTCAAACATATAAAGAGGCAAAACCTAAATAAAATGTTGTGCTTTATCTTCTTTGGGCATAAAGATTCTCAACATTTTTTTTTTCATTTTTGCATATGAATATAAATGCTGCATATCTTAGTATTAAATGTTCCTGCCTCTATGAATTATAAGATATTTTTATTGAAAGTGTGATCACTATGCATTTATATTGCCTATATAATATTAATTTCAATCAAAAGAGATTTTGCAGTCTCTGAATAACCTCACTAATAAATTTTGAGGACATAATTACATGTAATGCATTTTGAGAATTGTATACACTTATGATTTTTGTTATAACAGACTTGTTAATTTCTCATTTCAGACTTCAGCGAGTCTGGATGAATTAAAGAAGAAGAAAAAGTATCATTATACCATTTTTCATGATGCTATAACTCTGAGGATTAGTGACATTGAGGGGATATATAAAATAGAAAGTTAGAGGAAGATAACCCCCACAGACTTTCAAAATATTTGGCCCAAGTTAGCCGGAAGCCTACCCGAGCCATTCATGAGGAACATAAATCAAGATATGATTGACTTTTTATGGAAAAGAATGATAAATAGTGTGTTACACTGATTGCCCAACTATTGAAACATATTTAAGCTGACATTGAATACCTGGTATTCATGATAGTTATATGAAATATCTTTTTAGATATGGCACTGTATCTATCTTGTTTTGAAAAAAATTCTCTTGATTCATTTGTCATGACTCAAGGTCTGTTTTTAATATTTTGTCAGAAAAATTACTACTTTTTATACAAGTGCAAAATATTATCCAATCTATTAAACTATAAGTGCTGCTATCAGCTTTAATGTAGTAACAAAGTTAAAAGTATTATTCAATTATATCTTTTGATATACATGTACTATGTCATTCACTTTAGCTCAGCTTTTCTTTTTTTTTTTTTTTTTGAAAAAAGAAATAGAGGTTGCTGCCGTTGCCTTCTGCAAACTTGAACCTTGTTCATAACTTTTAAAGTTCTTGGTGTATTGTCTAACCTTGGCCTTCATTCATAATTGACCTTGACCTCCAAGGTTAAATGTCTAAATTTTGGCTTTGCTTGTTATTTGCTATTAGTGGCTTTAACTTTATTGCCCTTTGTTAATTTTCATATTTCATTTTTGTCTTGGCCATTTCTCCTAAACTATATTGTTCACAAGGAAACACATCCGACTCGTTGAGATCTAGTTGTTATTAGTCCATGAATTGTTTGTAGTCCAATCTACAATGACATAGGGGCATTTTATATAAAATCCTTGTTCAATCAAACAAGGCAAGCCTTAAAATTATCTTTGTATTTACTCCCTCATCCCATTCCAGTTCAGATAGGTTAGGTGGGCTGATAAAATATTTATTTTTGTGCCCCCACTTTAGTGGCGGGCATTTAGATTTACCCTTGTCCGTCCATCCGTATTTCACCTAGAGTCATGAAACTTTACTGTAATGTTGATCAGCAAGTGTAGTTGTTCACCTTGGTATTTTCATCTGGATATTTTTAGTATTTTCAGAGTTACTGCCATTGAATTTTTGCAATTTTCAACTTGTGTCGCATGTTACTCAAGCAGTATTTGACCTAGAGCAATGAAACTTTACAGGAATGTTGAACATTATGTGTAGTTGTGCACCTGGGTATTTTCGTCTGGATTTAGTATTTTGAGAGTTATGGGCCTTGACTTAGTAAAATTTTGCAATTTTCAACTTGTGTCGCATGTTACTCAAGCAGTATTTGACCTAGAGCAATGAAACTTTACAGGAATGTTGAACATTATGTGTAGTTGTGCACCTGGGTATTTTCGTCTGGATTTAGTATTTTGAGAGTTATGGCCCTTGATTTAGTAAAATTTTGCAATTTTCAACTTGTGTCGCATGTAACTCAAAAAGTATTTGACTTACAGTCATGAAACTTTACAGGAATGTTGATCAGCATGTGTAGTTGCGCATTTGGGTATTTTCGTGTGGATTTATCCAGTATTTGTAAAGTTATTGCCCTTGACTTGGTAAAATTTTGCAGTTTTCAACTTGTGTCACATGTAACTCAAAAAGGATTTGACATAGAGTCATTAAACCTTACGGGAAGGTTGCACAGCATATTTAGTTTTGCACCTGGGGTTTGGCTTGTGGATTTATCCAGTATTTGTAGTTATTTCCCTTGACTTAGTAAAAAACGTTTCATTATGTTGTTATTTGTTCCTTGAGTGCTTGAGTGAGAATCAACCAACTTTACAGGAATAATGATCAACATCACTAAATTACAGGAATAATGATTTACATCACTGTGAAGCTAAGAACCTGGGACTTTCATGTGGATTTTTTTCAGTTTTGTTAAGAGTTATTGCCCTTGACTCACAGTAGTATAAATTTACAATTTTCAACTTGTTAATGCATAGCTCAAAAAGTATTTATGTTTTCTTTCATTTCATTCAGCCAAACATAAATAATTTAACATTTAACTATAATTAATATCCTACAGGGATAAAATATAAATAAGAAAGACAATATAGGAGTGGCTACTACAGGTTCACTTTAATTTATCAAATAATTTACAATTTTCAACTTGTTCATGCATAGCTCAAAAAGTATTTCACTTGTAGGCCTGAATGTTTAAAAGAATGTTGGGCAGCATGTGTACTTATGCACCTTGGGGTTAACTTGTGAATTTATTCAGTATTTGTAAAGTTCTTGCCCTTTACTTAGTTAACGATTTTTAGTTTTCAAAAAATATTTGACCTAGAGTCACAAGATTGACAGAACAGTGGCGCGTAGAGGGGACCCGTGTCCTATGGACCCATTCCTAGTTATCCAAAATGTTTGTCTTGTTTTATTTTTCATTAAAATTATATGTAGTTCAAACAAATTGTGAATGCATGAAAGCATCAATTCTGTTTTACTTGAAAATTTAGAACCATATTTTCAGTTTCAATCAGCAAATATCCCAACATTTGTATATTTACAATTAAAAAATCACGAGACAGTTAAAAAGATGTCATTCTCATTGACACTCTGATTTCATTTTAGTAAACAAATCCTGGGCAATAAGATATTTTAGGTAGCTGTGCTATTTGTAGGTAGGTCGCGGGAGTGGGGAACAAACAATATTTTACATTCAGGGGTAAGCCTAAGTTTTTAGGCTTGGTAGGAACATTGCCCTTCTCAGATAATGGCACCAACTGATTTTGAGGTAATTAGATTTAAAGCTCAATATGGCATAAAGTTTAACTTCCTTTAAATATGTGTAACATTGTAAGGTATAGTTTATGTAACTCAGAAGGAAAAATTCTGATTGCCATTAGTTTTAAGATTGGTCCATTTGATTATAAGTTCAAGGTCTCAGTGACATGTAAACTCATTGTCCCAAGGTTTTGAACATTTCCAGGGACATTGCTTAGATTAGTAAATAAAGCATTAGTTTGGAGTTAATAAGGTCTAAGGTCACAATGGCTTAAGCATAATATCCTTCATCACCAGAAACCCATAAGGGGTTAGCTCAAGTTCATACAATTTGGTTGGAATTAAGATATTATTTATTTCCTTCTACAATATTGGCCATCTTCACACTTCCTCTTCCTGTTAAGACAGCATGGATTGAATAAAAAATAAAACTATAACTGTAAAGAAGTCACTGTTGTACAATTTTAAGAGTAAGAAAAAAAGATATGCTGTTCATTTGAAAATATTTTATTGTTGTTTTACTGCCAATGTTCAAATACATGTTTCAATTTATCTGTGTTTTTGTTATTTTAACAACATTCCAAAATGTGTCCTGAAACGTGCTAAGAGAAGTGGTGTGTAAATTAACATTGAAAGGTATTTGTAAAACATTGTTACAATCTGTGATCTTATTTGAATTTTAAAAAAGTACATTTGACATCTGAAAATAGAGAAATCAAGAATTCCTGCAGAAAGCCCAAAATGACAAAATTGAAACTGTTGCAGGCTCTATTTGGTGAGCCTGTTGGAAAGTGCAAGTTACCTTCCATGCCCCCCTAGCACCAGCTTTAGCAGAATTCAACATTTGAACATAAAGTGGTGAAATTTATGGTTTTATGCCATACCGGTGTACATAATCCAGAGATTAGGATTTAATTCTTGGCAATCTTATTTTCAGTGGAATGCAACTGTTCATTGTTAACAGAATAATATTTACACAGGTTGCACTGTGTTTGTATTGGAATGAAATTCTCATTAGTACATTATTCTCCATAATGTGCACTTTTACAAAAGGCTAACATAAAAATCAGGTCTTGAGTGATCATTTTCAAAATTATAGGCATCAGAACTTTAACTTGGTCTTTTTTCCATTCTTGTTTGCTTATAAATTGAAGTATAATTATACATTATCATATATCAAACGGTTGAGTCTGTAGATGTTAAATATGTATTGGCTTTTGCATGCAGTTGACTGGATTTTTAATCTGGTAACACCCTATAAAGGTTATTACACCAGATTGCCAAATTATATTTCTTTTCATTATAATTTCCTAACACAGACACTTGGGTTTGGAGCTCAAAACGCCTTTAAAATAAAAAAAAAAAAACAACTTAATATAAGCCGTTTTGAAATTTTTTTTCATATTTCAACATCTATAATATAATACAGATTGAGCACCAAGTGTCTGTGTTTCATAATATTTACATAACGCACACTACTGTATGCCATATTACTACGATGGAAGCTTGGCAATAGGTACGTATTATTTCTGGTACGAACAGATCATAAAGAACGGCTAATTTACCGATTACAAATAACCACAGCAACCGTACGACATAGACATGACCAACGCTCCATCTTCTTGTTTACTGTAGATCTAGTGAGAGTCTCAGACTTTGTTCTTTTCCGATTGTTTCGTAACGCGTTACGAGGATATAAGCTACATTCCTTAGCTAATAAATAGCTTTATATATCGTTTATTAATTACAAAACATAAAATAAAATTGAATCCGTCATTTATATTATATCTCCTAATATCGGGGTCGCAAGTTTGTTGACGTTTCTAATTATAGCGTTTCCGAACTTGTTTCTAATTATAGCATTTCCGAACTTTTCCGTATGCAAATGAGTTAATTCCGAATGAAACCGATCGGGCCCGAGAGCTTTTACAAATGGCGGGGATTTCAAAAACTGGCGATATTATATCCAGTTGCATCCGAGTGTTTCGGCGAAATAAGATTAAAATTGTATAGCAGTTCATCATTAATGAGGATATACTTATGATTTAGGCGATAATTTCTGAAAACTAAGTTGTAGGGTAAAATATCATCGTTGAACGGTATTATAACTTTAACAAAGTTTTACTTAGTAATAATTTTACTGTAGTACATTTTATTTTCCATCCCGATATTCTTTAAATAAATTCTTTTCTCATTAAGCAGATTACACACACTCCCTGCCTTTGATTACTACACAACTCATGTGATTGGCGTCCGCGCCGAAGCGCGGCGCCTCTTATGGAATGAAATCAGATTTTGTGAAAGGGCGACAGCAACTTCTTGAGCCTTTTAGTCGGTCATGATAAAAGCCGATCATTCCGATCGGTATGAGGGTGCTTGATTATTAATTGAAAATGAAATGTCGCAATATGTACAATGAATAGCGAACTGGATAATTTCGCAATGCAAACATTTTCAAATGAAATAACCTTTTCCGTCAATAAATCGCGCTCTTCGGTGTATTTTTATTTATCATTTTGTAGTACACAGTGGGTTACTATGGTATGTTTTGTTGTACATGTATCCATAGAATGATGAGTTGATGACCTAAATATTCCGAAAATCTATTTATAGAGGGATGTACTCCTATCGGTAATTCCCGGCCTCTCCTGGTCTATTTTGACCGGGGGCGAATAGTACCACACGTTTATTGTCCGGTCTCTCCCAGTTTTAGAGTAGATGTTTGATATCGTTACAGAAAAGAACAAATATTTTACAGATAAATAAGCTTTTTTCAAAATGAATGTCACTTAGTTTGGTTACAATAATTAATAAACACAGATCAACTCTCAAATTTATTGATTATTATTATACATAAACATACAATTCGAAAAAAAAAACCCAACAACAATAGCATGTTTTATTCTATCTATATGAGATAAAAACAATAAATATGTACAATAATTGAGAAAAAGGTACATTTTATGGTATTAATATGACACTATCAACTTTGAAACATTTTATTTAATTTGTTATTCGTGTTTAGTAAACATGCCGAGGAATTATTCAAAGTTACAAATTAGATTTTATGAAGTATTCAATTGATCACGGATTTATGTAATATAAATCCGTGAATTGATTGATAATTTAAATAATGATAAAGAAAAATACAAATGTACATGTATATGGTTTAAGAATAAAAAATATTATATATTGAAAGATTAACCATAATTTATTGACTTTTTCCAGTTAAGTTTTGACTTAAAATCGTCGGTCAATATGACAATTGAATTCTAAAAATAGTAGTAAACGTAAAAACTCAGTATTAAAATAGCACATAAAACACAAAAAAGAAAAGAAAACAATATTCATAAAATCTGTATTTTTTTTTTATTAAAATAGACAATACAATTATTGTATAATAAACAATTATGCTCAACATGATCAAAATGGTAATATAACCAGTGTTATATTGTTACTAAGTGTGAACAGATACCTTAAGAGGGGGTCTTCGCTAATAGCGATAACATAATAAGGGACAATAACACAAGTGTGTTGTTGATCATGCGTTACACATATGGATTATAAATGATTGTATACATGTATATCCGTTGCTATTAATAACCACGATCATAAAGAAATAACAAGTAATATTCTAATCTCTAGCATGCCAATCAAAATTAATAATGAACAATGTCTTTCGTCTGTTCATTTATAAGTGATATACAATTCTGGTAAAAACCAATTAACCATTGAAAAGTTTATAAGAATATCTTGTCATCATATATTTACTAGTTCATCTTCACCTGCTGCATTTCTTGCTTGGACGCCCTTTGATGCTTTGCATCAATGTCTGTTGAAAAAGGCGTAAAATGAAACAAACAAACAAACAAACAAACAAACTTTTCTTGTATAACTTTATTTCCTAGATGATTATTGGTAATTGGCAAGGTGCTCCGAATGCAGGTTTGTTTCTAGCTCAGTGACTTGCACAAAGTTAATCTCCTTTTAATCTGTTATCAGCTTTAATTTTTTTTGAATTTTTTTTTCTGAGTAAGCTCTGACTAGGAAGCATTGAATTTCTCAAAAAACTTCAATTCTCTATTTGGTATTTACATGCCATTGTCCTCATTTTATGGAGTTTAGGGTCACTAGAGTCAAGGTCACTGCTGCTAATAATAGATTTTTAAAACTTTTCCTCATACAGCCTTTAATCATTAACTGATGTCTTTCATACTTAGTATTTTGTAGGTACATACCTTAGATCAAGGTCCTCTTAGTTTTGATGCAGTTAGGGGTCACTTAGATCACGGTCACCAGCACTTAAAATAGATGTTTACGCTTATATGCAATGTCTTTCATATTTACATACCTTGGGTGGATTGAGTTATGAGTCATTAGCATCAAAGAGAAGATCATAAAATAGATTTTTACACTGTTGCTCATTATTATAACCGCCTTTATTTGGTAGGAACTCTAACTTTGGTTGGTCTTCTAACTTTGATTGGAGTTATAGGGTCACTAGGGATAATTTCAAGGTCAGTTATGCTAAAAATAGAAGTTTACATATTCCTATGTATTTTATATTGAAATAAATTGACATATATGCAGCTTCAAGGAGCCTTTAGCAATATATCTAGTTCTACAGTTATATGCCTCTTTAATGCCTTTTTAGGTGTTAATTGTCTCTTGACTATTAATTTTCTAAGCAGCTGATAAGTCAGAAGTTTGCTTTCTTAATTATCTCCCTTTTATAAATTTTATTTCTGTTCTTTGTATTGGAACATTACTATAAAGGAATGAAGAGATTTTGTTTGTATATTAAGAGAATGACAAAGTGGTGTGATTATGCTTCATAATGGGGATACATATAGTTTTGACTTTGTCTATCTGTTCATCAGTCTGTATGTGTCAAAATTTTTACTAGACTATAATATCTCAACTACCACTGGCTAACTTTGATTTACACTTTCTTTTTCATATGCTCAAATTTGTAGTTTGCAACATAAATATTTCATTTTTCAAAAAGTTCAAATAACAAAATTGCATTCAAATACTCATTAAACTGTACAACAGTACAACTACTTTGATGTTCTTGCCTTTCTTATTTTATGGGGTTTTAACTGTTGCTTCTCCCTACAACTTCATCTTTTTCCTCCATAGGCTTACTTTTTTCATAGGCTCAAACTTATTTGTAACATAAATATTTGACTTTAAAATATTCAAATAACAAAATTGCATTCAAATAATCATTGGTTGTTAATTGTACACAGTAAGTTACATCTTTGTGTCACACAGGAGCAATATTTTTCTTTACAATCAGTAAACTAAAATTTGTTAATCATCACATTTTAAGTGGGGACAATATTTAGTAAGTATTATTTTTTTTTTTCAGTTTTGGTGAAGTATTATCATTATGCCTTTATCTTAATAACTTATGTGCTATTTAGATACATGTATATATTGCCTTTGGAGACATACAAAAGCATCAACACTACAGATATTTCTGTCAACTATTTTCTCCAAAGCTTGAGGGAGAGAGCCTCTTGTGACACACATTATTGATATTTAATGAAAATAAATTACCGCATTATTTCAGTACTATCAACAAGGGAGAAATTCAATTATGTTTTAACAATAATACAAGTCTTTATAGTCCTCTTGGCTCCGCAATGTGGACTATTTCTCTTTGACAAGATGCTACACAAGTGTCGTTATAATTTCGGAGACAATATTATCAACTGTCAAAATTTATAAGGACTTGTTGGGAAAAGTGTATACACTAGGGAAGCATCAGGATGTATCGTTCTGTTGTTTGTGATGATACATGGAATCAAATAATCAATTACACTTAGATACAATAGAGAGGATAGGTTATTACAATGTAACAAAGTAAACAACATATCTTACAAATTGTTATTACATGACATTAATAATAAAAAATATTATAACATTTCCTATTAGCCATTAATGAGCCAAAATTTGCGAATTTTCATAGGAACGTGTTTGTTTAAGCAAAGAGAACTTGAGATTTCT